TTTGGTGTTTGATGTTCACGTCGTACATGGAGAGTTTCAGGGACCACCGGAAAAGTCGGCCTCGGGGATTCTTGATGCTTTTAAGCCATTGCAACGCTGCGTGATCTGTGATCACAGTGAAATGTTTCCCGGGTAGATAGCAGTGCCATTTATCGATGGCGTCAATAATTGCCAAACATTCGAGTTCTGTGATGGCGTAATTAATTTCGTGTTTTAGTAACTTCCGTGAATGGTATGCGATTGGGTGCTCTCTACCTTCATCATCAGCCTGCTTCAAGACGGCGCCGATAGCTCTGTTGGACGCATCGCAGTATAGCACACAAGGCTTAGTGGCATCGTAGATGTTAAGGATTGGCTCTTCCGTCACGCATTTCTTGAGCTGAGTGAAAGCCAGTTCACACTCCGCATCCCAGTTCAGGTGGCGTCTTTGCTGAGCAGGCGCGTCAGTGGGTGAGCGATTTGACTGAAGTGGTCGATGTATCGCCGGTAAACATTGACAGTGCCGAGAAAACGCTGCAACTCTTTAAGGCGTGATGGTGTCGGAAACCGTAGGATTGCGTCCACGTTGCTTTGCTTTTGAGTGACGGTGCCATGCGAAACCTTGTGTCCCAGGTACTCAATGGAGGTTCGAGCGAATTGACATTTCTTTAATTTGAGCTTGACGCCTTCGCTTTTGAAAGCTTTCAAAACGCCCTCCAGATGCCTCAGATGGTCTGGAAACGTGTCGGAGTATACAACAATGTCATCGAAGTAATTCGTGACGTTCTGCAAACGGTGTTTTGCCAATACGAATTTGACAGCCCGTTCGAAGGTGGCCGGAGCATTCCGAAGGCCAAAAAGCATGACGAGCCACTCGTAGTGACCGGTACGTGTGACAAACGCCGTTTTCGGAATGTCATCAGGGTGAATCTTCACGTGCCAGTAACCTGACGTTATGTCTAATGTCGAGAAGTACGTAGATTTCCCCAGAGAATCAAGAACGTCATCGATGCGAGGGATGGGCTGATAATCAGGCACCGTCAATTCGTTCAGCTTGCGGTAGTCGATGCAGAAGCGCGTGCGTCCTTCCGCTTTTTTCTCTGCCAGAAGTGCTGGCGCAGCGTATGGGGAGGTAGTCGTATGACACCTTGCTTGAGAAGCTCATTGATCTGTCTGTCCATTTCAACGCTGTCTGTTTCTCAGCATCGATAGGGAGCTCTACGAATGGGAACATTGTTGTTGAGATGAATGCGATGCATTTCGCCGTTGATGCACCCAATATCTGTCTGTGACTTGGAAAAACTGTCATCGTACTTGTAGATAAGCTGCTTCAATGCCAATTGTTGAGTTTTATTTAGATGTGGTACATCACAAACTTCAACACTTTGCAAAGACGCGCCCTTGTTAACCATGGTTTGGTTCTGTGTACGAGAATGGAGGATGTCTTTCCCTTGGCGTAGAGTCATAGTGTCAAGGTCCAGCGACAAGTTAAAGAGGCAAGCACTATCCAAGCCAAGAAGTAAGTTGCTCTTCATGCCTTGTAGAACATGAGCCTGAATTTCTCTTGTCACTTTTCCTATCTGTACCTTTAGATTAACGCGACCCAAAGTTTTGGTAGATGATGTGACTTGTTGAACTGAGATGCATGAATTCCTCATTATTTGCAGGTGATGTGCCTTCAGCACTGCTTCGTTGATACAGGTAATTGTAGCTCCGGTATCAAGTGTAGCGCTGACAGGGTACCCGTTAATGAGGGCATCAAACTGAATTACATGAACTCTGGGTCGCCCTCCTCGTTTCCCTGGTTGGTGGAGAGGGCGGAAATGCTTGCGCGTCGTGGGCATTCATTATGCCAGAGCATCTGTCGGGGTAAGCCATCCATCGCGCAGTGTTTGCACTCACGCACGGGTGTTCGTACCGGGGAATTACGTGGACGCTGACTAGTTCTGTCACTTGTTACGTTAATCTGTGTATTCCGAGCTGGTGGAAAGCGATGTAACTTCATTCTCTGCATGGCTGACTCTACACGAAGTGCAGCTGTAAGCCATGCCTCTGGTGTAGACGAGGTAAGCCCAGCAAGCGCCATCTCCATATGCGCAGGAAGGCCGTCGATGAGCCCTGATATAAGGTGCGTGTCCTTTAAGTCGGCGAGGCGTCCGAGAGACATTTTTTCATTATAGTATTCCTGCAAGCTCTGGCCTGTTCGCAACCGGCAATGAATGAATTGGCGAAAAGGATCCGCGACGCCGCTCGTAAAGCGTCCCTTCATGCGTTCACATAGGCTCTCCCAAGACGCGTCTGTGTCGAAAACCTCGGTGAGAAACCATCGGAAAGCCTCACCTTCAAGGTAATCGGAGAAGTAGCACAGCTTGTCTCGCTCCGTCCATGCTGCGGACGCAGTCCTCACCTCAAAGAGTCGGAGCCACTTGTCAAAGGGGACGTCCGTAGATGCTCCCGAGTACTTCGGGATGTGTATCGGATGATATCGCTACTGCATGTACAACACGTGGCGATCAGTCAAGATATCTTTGGCTTGCCCTCGCCCGTTCCACCTGTATATAAAGCATGGCACAATAAACTTAAGAGATTCTTCCCGTTACGCTCGGACTGTCAGGATGGCCCAACGACCACACACGATACATGGTGTCAGAAGTTAACCGAAGCTAGCGCCTAGCATGTACAACATGGATTTTGTGAAGCCACCGCCCCCACTACGTACTAATGGGGAAATCAGCAAGAACTGGCAGGGCTTCAAGCAGCGCTTCGAGTTGTTCTTGACCGCGTCGGAGACCAGTGGCAAACCCCGAAAGGAAGCAACAAAGACTGCCCTCCTCCTAAGTATCGCAGGTGAGGAAGCCATTGAGATCTTTAACACGTTCGAATACCAGCAAGAGGAGGATAGCAGCGATTACAAAACAGTCGTGCAGAAGTTCGATGCATATTTTGCCGGACAGAGTAACGAAGTGCACGAACGCTATGTATTTCGCTCAAGGATCCAGAAGCCGGGAGAACCCTTCGAACATTTTGTGAGGGATCTGAAAACGCAGGCAGCATCGTGCAACTTTGGCAGTCTTAAGGAGTCGATGATCAGAGACCAGATCGTTTTACGGGACTACTGACAGCAACCTTCGAGAAAAGCTGTTAAGGGACAACAATTTGACACTACAAAAGGCCGAGCTGGCAGGTAAAGCCGCAGAAGCAGCAGCGGGACACCAAGAAGTTTGGGCACGCGAACTGAAAGAAGTAGATCCGGTAGGCCGTGGCTCCTATTGACAAACTTTTTCGCCAGGACCCGCCTTTTCTAAGTGTCTGAGATGTGGGCGCAAGCATGCACACGAAGCTGTCCAGCGTTCGGGATGAAGTGCCGGAAGTGCCACAGGCGCAACCATTTCGCCATATGCTGCAAACAACCACGGAAGTTCACGAGCTCCGAGGCTCCGAAGACAACTTTGACATTCTGGACGTGTCAATTTAGGCAAAATTCCACGCGACTGGACGGTGCGAGCTCAAATCAAGAACCTGCCAGTAAACCTAAAAGTCGACACGGGAGCACAAGCAAATTTGCTGCCTTTGAGCTGCTACCTCAAGATGCGCCCTCAACCGCCGCTGAATCCAAGTAGCGCGGTGTTACGTTCGTATGGAGGAGGGGCAATTCAGCACGTCGGGGTCATACGTACCGAAGTCACACTGAATGACTCGACCTCAGTACTGGATTTTTTCATCGTACGGAAGGGGCGTCAAGCGATCCTCGGACTTCAAGCATGCCAACTCATGAGGCTTGTGCCGCGTGTTTACAGCGTGTCTAAAAGCAACCATGAGTGCATCTTTGACGAATTTCGCCATCTGTTCACCGGAACCGGGTGCGTGCAACGAGCATACAAGATGGTGTTACGTGACGGCGCCATACCCGTCGTCCAGGCCGCACGGCGTGTTCCAGTGGCCTTACAAGAACCCCTCAAGATGGAATTGGACCGCATGCAACGAGCCAGCATTATCACGAAGGTGACCGAGCCTACAGACTGGGTGAGTCCTGTCGTTATTGTTCGAAAGAAGGACGGGAAAATCCGAGTGTGCATTGATCCACGAAACATAAATGAGTGCCTAAAAAGAGAACATTACATAATGCCTCGCAGAGAAGATATAGAAGCAGACCTCGCCGGCGCGACAGTTTTTTTCACGCCTAGACGCAAACTCGGGGTTTCACCAGATCCCTTTAGATGACGAAACCTCCCGAATTTGCACCTTCGCAACACCATTCGGCCGCTACTGGTTTTTGCGCTTACCCTTTGGTATAGCATCGGCTTCAGAGGTCTTCCAGAGGACCCTGAATGAAATTTTTGAAGAACTTCCTGGGGTCAGAGTGTACGTGGACGACGTCCTTATCTGGGGTGCATCCATAGAAGAACATAATGAGCGTCTTAAGTCGGTGCTACGAGCAGCTGAACGCGCCGGCCTTACATTCAACCCAGAAAAGTGCACGTTTGCGGTCGAAAAGATAGAATTTCTCGGGGACGTGATTGACAAAAACGGCATCAGACCAAGCCCATCCTTGATAAATTGCATGCTACAAATTCCCACACCAGTTGACAAGCTTGCGGTGCAACGAATGCTGGGCGTTGCCAACTACTTCAGCAAATTCTTGCCGTCACTCGCTGAAAGAACCACACTACTGAGGGGCCTGATCAAAAAGGACGAATCTTCGAATGGACAGATAACCACAATCAGGAATGGAAGCAGCTATGCGACAGTTTGAGCAAAGAACCTTTGCTATCTATCTTTGATCCTCAGAGAAAAACCAAAGTGTCGTGCGACGCATCACGGAATGGGGTTGGATCAGCTTTGCTGCAATACCACAATAACGCGTGGAAGCCGGTCGCGTACGCGTCACGAGCGCTCAGCGAAACTGAGCAACGGTATTCACAAATTGAAAAAGAGACGTTAGCATTGCTGTACGGCTGCGAAAGATTTCATCACTTTATCTACGGCCGCAATGTCATTGCAGAGGACCGATCATCGGCCCTTGATTACCATTGCTCGGAAACCAATAGGCGATATGCCGCCAAGGCTACAGCGTTTCTTCCTCCGTTTGCTGCGTTATGACCTTGACTTGCAATTCATTCCAGGGAAGCAGCTCGTCCTGGCCGACATGCTCTCGAGAGCCACAAGCAGGCAAGCGGGTGACACCGACAGCGACGATGTAGAAGTCCACGCGGTAAGTGTGATGTCTTCATTAGTGAGCGACCGAACATGGAAGTGGTTGTCAGCAGAAACAGAGAAGGACGAAGAGCTTAAAGACGTTCTGAAAAACCTAGAATCTGGAGAGGATATCAAGGGCCAATGGAGGCCATTTCAAGCAGAACTATCTCAAGTTAACGGTGTACTTTTGAAAGGCTGTAAGGTGGTAATACCGGCTTCTATGAGACGTGAAATGCTAGATCGCATTCACCAAGGTCACTTAGGTGTCAACAAATGTAAATCAAGGGCAAGACAGCTTGTTTTTTGGCCTGGAATAAATCAAGATATCGAATCGATCTGCCATAAATGTGCACCATGCAGAAAAATACGCATACAAACAGCCGACAGAGCCTCTTAAGATGCGCCCGGCGCCACCCCAGCCTTGGTACCGTGTAGGGGCGGACCTTTTTCGAATATGGCGGTAGAAACATACTTGTGTGTTTATGACGCGCTCTCCAACTTTCCCGAGGTGGAGTTGCTCAAAGACACATCTTCGAGAACTGTCATAGAAGCAGCAAGTGCCATCTTCGCCAGATATGGCATACCAGTTGAACTTTGTACCGATAATGGGCCGCAGTTCACAAGTCATGACTTCGCTGCATTTTCTCAGCTGTACGATTTCAAACACGTCACTTCAAGCCCGAGGTATCCACAATCAAATGGCCTCGCAGAAAAAAGGAGTACAGGTCGTTAAGAGAATACTAAAGAAAAACTACTGACGCGAAACAAGACTTTTTGGCTTGGATTACTCGCTTACAGGACGACACCGATGGAGGGTGCGCCTTCACCTGCCGAGGTGTTACAAGGAAGGCGACTGCGAACGACGCTGCCGGATGTCCGTTCCGTTCCAGAATTTCCGGTCCGAAAGCATCGCCAGAGCAACGCCTGCAGGAGGACCCTAGCGCCGCTGGGAGCAGGCGACACCGTTCGAGTTAAAGGGGGGTCATGGTCGACCAAAGCACGAGTCCTCGAGCCATGCAATACTCCCAGGTCATACCATGTCGTCACAGAGGAAGGAAGGGTCCTCCGCCGCAACCGCCAGCACCTACTTCCGACCGGTGAAAGCTTTCGAAGGCGCACGTGTTCCAGCAGCAGTGAGGACTTCGCCGAACAAACTGCAAATTGCAGTAGTGGGCCCGCAGCTCTCCATGCACCCAATACGGCAGGCATCGTAACTTCAAGAAGTTCGACAAGACTGCGACGGCCACCACAGCGGTTGACCTACGACAGAAACTTTGTGCAAGTGTCGTGATGAGCTTCCAGTGGCGTGCAATGAACGATGTTTCTTCTGTGCACTGTTCAACCCTGTAACTCCCCGTTAGAAAAATATTTAACTGTTCTGTTTTGTTTACTCATACGAAAGAGGATGTATCGGATGATATCGCTACTGCATGTACAACACGTGGCGATCAGTCAAGATATCTTTGGCTTGCCCTCGCCCGTTCCACCTGTATATAAAGCATGGCACAATAAACTTAAGAGATTCTTCCCGTTACGCTCGGACTGTCAGGATGGCCCAACGACCACACACGATACAGGATGTTGATGACTTTCTTGGATGTGGCCATGATGAAGGGCACGGTAGATCCTGTCGACTAGTGTGACGCAGGAGGCGTGATGGCTGTACGATGAACCATTTATTTGTCTTCGTCTTCCTCCTTCTCTACCATTCCACCACACCGTTCTCGTGTGGTTCGTCACATATATATATATATAATATATATATATATATATATATATATATATATATATATATATTATATATATTTATATATATATATATATATATATATATATATTTATATATATATATATATATATATATATATATATACTGAAGTTTTTCGAATAAGCCAAACGTACTTAGGAACAGAAGAGGCACAACTTAGTGGTTGTCTTAATTTTATTCCCATATATATATATATATATATATATATAAGGGAATATATATATATATATGTGGCAAAGAAGTGTATACCATAGCGCTCGTTTTTTCCGTGTTTTCACACAATAATAATGAGATCTAACAGACAATAACGCCAAGCAATGTATAGGGGAACTTATTAGAACCAATGTAATGTAAATGGGTAGAAAGAAATGGGGGTGAAAAAGTAACTTCTCGTGAGCAGGAATCGAACCTACGACCTTCAAATAACGCACTCGATGCTATCACTCTCTTTCTCTTTCTCTTTCTAAATATATATATATATATATATATATATATATATATATATATATATATATATATATATATATATATATATATATATATATATATATATATATATATATATATATAGTGGGAGTAATAAATCAATGGGCCAGTTAGTCTTCGTGAAGGTATGGGATATGGCACAACGGGAGCGTTGTTAACAAGGATAAATATATTTCCCAACAGTTTCGGGAGGGGTCCTCCCTTCATCAGGGGATGGGTTATATATATATACACTCAAGTGGATCTTCTGTGAGCAGTCACAACGTAGTTTATTTCGACGTTTTGGCCTAGAAACTGGCCTCTATCAATTCTGATGAAGACCAGACATTAGGCCGAAACGTCAAAACAAGCCGCGTTGTGACCGCTCACCGAGCATCGAGGATCGAGGATAAATAAATATATATATATATATATGAATATATATATACACATATATATATATATATATATATATATATATATATTATATATATATATATATATATATATGTATGGCGGCGATGGTGTACTGGTTAGAGCATCCGCCTCACATGCAAAAGTTCCGTGGTTCAAATCCCGGTGCCGCACAGTTCACAACCGGACTAAAAAAAATCCGCGTGTTGATGGAACTGCATTAAGAGGCCTGGAATGCGGCCTCACCGGTAACCACCGCCGTAAACGCACTCCCTTACCGGAGAAGGATTGGCCACCCTGGTGCAGTATCTGGCCACTACCTCCCACATGCATACGTCAAATAACTCACGGCCATCAGTCCCCAGCAGCTGTGAAGCAACTGACCACGGCAGCGGTCAGATCTGCAACGCAGCAGAGGGTGCTAAGAATCTCTGGATCCGGACAGGCCGCCATTGGAACCTGAACTTGGCAACTTTAACGCTAGAACCTTATCTAGTGACGGAAGTCTAGCTGTACAATTCGAGGAGCTAGAGGGTGTTAAATGGGATCTAAAGATCTCAGTGAGGTTAGGAGGACAGATGAGGCCTATACGGTGCTACAGAATGGGTACGTCCTTTGCTATCGGGGCTTGGCAGACAGAAGAGAAATGGGAGTGGGGTTCCTAATTCACAGAAACTTAGCTGGCAACATGGAGGAATACTATAGCATTAATGAAAGGGTGGTAGGTATTGTAACTAAACTGAATAAAAGATACAAGATTAAGGTAGTACAGGCTTACGCGCCTACATCCAGCCATGATGATGCTTCAGTTGAAAGCTTCTATGAAGACGTGGAATCGGCAATGAGTAAGGTAAAAACACAGTATAATATAGTGATCGCTACAATTGACCACATTCATACTATCAATCAGCTAATAGACAAATGCTCAGAGTATAACCAACCACTACACATAGCCTTCATAGATTACGAGAATGCGTTTGATTCAGTAGAAATATCAGCCGTCATGCAAACACTGCGGAATCAGGGCGTAGATGAAGTATATATAAACATTTTGGAAGACATTTACAGGGGATCAACTGCTACCATAGTACTTCTCAAAGAAAGCAACAGAATACCAATCAAGAAGGGTGTAAGGCAGGGGGACACAATCTCCCCAATGCTATTTATCGCTTGCTTACAGGAGGTTTTCAGAAGCCTCGAATGGGAACAGTTAGGGATAAGAGTTAATGGAGAATACCTTAGTAACCTGCGCTTCCCTGATGACATTGCTTTGCTGAGTACCTCAGGGACGGATTACAACTCATGATTATGGAGTTAGACAAGGAGAGCAGAAAGGTGGGTCTTAAAATTAATCTGCAGAAAACGAAAGTAATATACAACAACCTCGGAAGAGAGCAGCGTTTCGAGATAAGTAATAGTGCACTTCAAGTTGCAAATGACTATGTCTGCCTAGGGCAAGTAATAACCACGAAGCAGAACCACGAGATTCAAGTAACTAGAAGAATAAGAATGGGGTGGAGCACATTTGGCAAGCACTCTCAAATTATGACAGGTGCATTGCCACTATCTCTCAAGAGAAAGGTATATAACAGCTATCTCTTGCTGGTACTTAGCTAGAGAGCAGAAACCTGGAGACTTACAAAGAGGGTTCAGCTTAAATTGAGGACGACGCAGCGAGCAATGGAAAAAAATGGTAGGAGTAACATTAAGAAACAAGAAGAGAGCAGAGTGGATTAGGGAACAAACGGGGGTTAAGGATATCATAGTTGAAATCAAGAAGAGAAAATGGACATGGGCCGGGCATCAAGAAGATGAAATGGGCATGGGCCGGGCATGTAGCACGTAGACAGGACAACGACTGGTCATTAAGGGTAACTACCTGGATTCCCAGGGAAGGCAAGCGAGTTAGGGGGAGACAGAAGGTTAGGTAGGCAGATGAAATTAAGAAGTTTGCGGGTATAAATTGGCAGCAGCAAGCACAGGACCGAGTTAAGGGGCGGAACATGGGAGAGGCCTTTGTCCTGTGGTGGACGTAGTCAGGATGATTAGGATTATGATGATGACGATTATTATTATGATCGATACCAAACTTGCTATGCATAACATGACTACATGAAGAACATATTCTAGTAGTCATAACATCAATATCATGATATATATGTCATGAATTGCATGACTTACATTTCATGGTCCTGCAGTTCTTGCGGTGGTTTCGTTCACATGGCATATTGTAAAATTGGTATGGTATGACATGATTGCATGGCAAACAAAAGTGACAGACCCTACATGAAAATCATGACATGCGCGTTATGTAACAACATGACTACATGCCACGCTCATATCGCGCGCGTGGCCGTTTTGCTAGCGTCACGTATACCAAAGTTGGTATGACGGTACGTGAATGGACGGCGAAGGTATCTTACTGGTGCAAACATAATCACGAGATGCGTGTCATGTAACAACATGACTACATGCCACGCTCATAATACCGTGGTGGCCATTTCGCTAGCTTCACTAAAACCAAGTTTGCTAATACAGTACGTGAATAGTTGACGAAGTTATGATACTGGTGCGAACAATATAAACATGAGATGCGTGTCATGTAACAACGTGAATACATGCCACACTCATAGGTGCGTGCGTTCGTTTCGCTAGCATCACATCACCAAATTTGGTATTACGCTACGTGACGACGAAGGTATGTTACTGGTGCAAACATGATACTCATGAGATGCGTGTCATGTAACAGCGTAACTACATGCCACGCTCATGATGCGCTGGAGGCCGTTTTGCTAGTTTCACCGATACCATTTTTTTATTTCGGGTTGTGAATGGATGATGAAGGTATAATACTGGTTCAAACACGATAAACATGAGATGGGTACGGGTCATGTAACAACATGACTACATACTACCCTCATGATGCGCTCACGGCCGTTTCGCTAGCTTCACATCTACCAAACTCGGTATTACGTGACGCGAATGAATGACATAGCTGAATGACACATCCGAACATGATAATCACGACATGCGTGTAATGTAACAACCGGACCACGTGCCACACTCATGATGCGCTCGCGGCCGTTTCACTGGCTTCACACATGCCAAATTTGGTATTACGTCACTTCAATGGATGACTAAGGTATGTGACTGGTGCAAACATGATAACCATGAGATGTGTGTCATATCAGAGCATAACTACATGCAACAGTCGAGGCGCCAATACATTTGGACGTGACGCGGTGCGCGTGCTCGCCGGCGTTCATTTCGACGCGTCATGCCGGCGTTGCGACACCAGGCGCTTGTCCTGCCATATACTCGCAGGCGCGCGCCACGCTGCGCTGCTTTGACTCATGCGCGTTTCAGCGCGTTCGGTGTCCCTCCATCACGAAAAGAGGGAGACACAGTGTTGTCTGGGTAACGCATGGAAGAGAAACGCACCATGTCGCATTTCGCACCAGGTGCCGTCGAGCCACGCCGACGGACGCTGGTCGCACCGGTTGTGCGTGGTATCACACTATGCAGTGCTCACGTTTTTCTAACGTAGCGTCACTGTGCCTTGCGTGCGTGAGCGTCAAAGCTACTTTGGAGTATATTGGGCCCTTCATGATGCACTCACGGCTA